CGGGCCGCCCCGCGCCTCGCCGCGCCCACCGCAGACCTGAACTCCGCCCCAGTGCAGCCGGTCACCTCCTTCCTGAGCTTGTCCCAGGTGTCCAGGCCGCAGCTGCCCGGGGAGGGGGCCGGAGGGGGCGGGGAGGAGGAAGAGGAGGCCACCGCCGGGGAGGGGGCCTCAGAGGACAGCGAGGAGGCGGCCGGGCCGGCGCGGGCCCGCTGGCGGGAGGACGCCATCGACTGGCAGCGCACCTTCAGCGTGGGCGCCCTGGACTTCGAGCTGCTGCGCTCCGACTGGAACGACCTCCGCTGTAACGTGTCCGGCAACCTGCAGCTGCCCGAGGCCGAGGCCGTGGACGTGGTGGCCCAGTACATGGAGCGCCTGCACGCACGCCACCGGGGGTACGGCCAGGCGCCCCGCGCGGCAGCGGCTTCTGGACGTGACCCCGGACCTCTACCAGGGCCCCTGTGCAGGGCGAGGGGCTCCCAGCCCCGGGGCTGACTCCCGTCCCAGCCCTCCCCGGGGCCTGGACCGGGGCCCATCTGGGAAGCCTCGGCCACATGCCCCCCGCGGGCCTTCCGAGGGGCACGCTGCCCGCCTGCTGGCCTCCCGCTCCCCCGAGGCCCAGGGGCCGGTCTGGCTCCCCCCACACGGGTGGGGCCGCCAGGGAGCTTTTCCCTGGGAGGCCCTGAAGGGGCACAGTGCGCCCAGACAGCCCCCGCCCCAGGCCAGGCGGCCGGCGGGGGGGGGCTCTGGCCTGCACGGCCCTGGCTGGGCGCGAGGCAGACTCTGGAGCGGGGGCGGCTGTCTGGGTGGAAGGCGGTGTGGGCACCGAGGCCCAGGGCGGTGGGCACGGCCGTGCCCTGGCAGGGCGGTGGGCCAGGGCAGGCGCTGTCCCAGCACGGTTTTCCCCGTCTGGGAACAGAGGCCAAGAGACCTCGGGGGAGCTGCAGGGCCTTGGAGAGGGGGGCTGGGGCCGAGCCAGAGGGGGGCAGCCAGCCAGCTAGTGCCCTGGAATGCACCTTCCGCCCTGCCTGCGCAGCCAGGAGGGGTCCCTGGGCTGGCCAGCGCAACGAGCAGGAGTGGCCCGAGGAAGGGGTCCAGCCTGGGCAGGGGTGCCGGGAGGTGGGCAGGTGCTGGGATGCCCGCCCCCCGCTCGCGGAGTCCGGCCCTCCTCTCCGGGGCTGGTTGCGCAGGCTGACGGCCCCAGGGGCTGACGGCCCCGCCTCCCAGGCGCTTCTCGCTCCTGCGCATCGTCAACGTGGAGAAGCGCCGCGACTCGGCGCGCGGGAGCCGCTTCCTCCTGGAGCTGGAGCTGCAGGAGCGCGGGCGCGGCCGCTTGCGCCTGTCCGAGTACGTCTTCCTGCGACTGCCAGGGGCCCGC